ATAATAATAATAATAATAATAATAATAATGCAGTGCATACATAACGCACTGTGAAATACTCAGAGTTCCTAAATCAATTATATTTATCATATGCAGCAAGTGTACAGTTGTTCAGTTGCTTCAAGACGAGGAACGCAATCGGCAGACGGCGTTTAAGAAGCGATGCAACGATTCCGGAGTCCACTTTCAAAACGGTATAAATATCGAAGGGACGTATTTCCCCACATGGTGTCAGACATCACGAACAGAACATAAAGCTATTGTATAGCTTCCGCGAAATACAAGGACGCCTGGGAGTGAATGCTGACATAGCCTCGCATTCTACTTCGGTGACGTTCGCATCCGAAGGAATAACCAATCAAACGGCTGCATAGCAATTAAAGATATCAATTAAATCGAATTGCACGCTCTGTTCAGATGGAAACCTGGTTATAATTTGCCTGCTTTTAGTTTCACATGTCCACGTAAGACAAGCTGAAAGCGCAGTTGCCTTCTGTAAATATGACGTGTAATTCAGCTATGGCGGTAGGCAAATGTCCTTAAATGTCCTCTCGCAGTCCTTAAATAATGAAGCACTGCGCCATGAAGCAGAACGGGGGAGTGGAGCTATAGCTCCACCATTCTTTACCTCGGCACTAGATGGATGTTAGTGGCCAGCTTGAAGCCCCAGCCGCTTTACCCCTGGGGATAGAACCCCGGTTACCCATTGGATAGGGGGATATTCAGGTAGCTGCCGAAACCGCCATATCTCACAGACCATTCGCTTACATTCCATTTATTCGATGTCAGGCCTGGCCAACAAGAACATTTTTACTTCAAAACTTCAGTTAGGGAGGCACGCGGTAGCGTTGTTGGTTGAGTCACTATACTACAAGCCGAAAGGTAGCGGATTCGATTCCCGATGACGTCACTGGATTTCTCAAATTATCTAATCCTTCCAGCCGCACTATGGCCCTGGGGTCTACTGAGCCTCTAATAGAAATGACTACCATGGATCTTCCTGGGAGGTAAAGGGACGCCGGTAACCTTACCGCCATCTGTGAGCCAACTGCCTAGAGACAATGTGGGAGCCTCGACGTCTCACAACCCTATAGGCCTCCACGGCCTGTTACAAAGATAGCTTTACTTTTTGAATACCTCAGTTACAAGGCTTTTCCTACAGAAAACGGAACACCCCTCTTTATTAGTCACCTGCTGGTGGCAGCTTTCACAACATGGACAGACGTCGGAAAGGGAGTGCGTCTCATAGATTACGCTGTTTCCTGACGTTGTTATAATATTCGCGGCTGAAAGAGATACTAGAAGAAACTGGGACCTGTTGCTGTTTGCACAGATAATGTTAATTTAGTATGTTTTGTATTCCATTTAACTATGAAATAATAACAAACTGTCAAGCACTGCACTACGAAGCAAGAGGAAATTATCAGTTCAGTTTCACAGTTCAACTCTATGTCCAAAAAAGTTCGGCAAAATTATACTGTTCGGTTTCCGGTTTATGTTTATATTCAAAGTCCTAATTTTAAAAGGGTTTAAATGTTTCCGCCACTTTTTCATAACGGTTTTATACACATGGTGGAGGCAGCCTCTTAATTTTAAAATGATTTCATTCCATATCATCAGTTCACTTGTAAGATTTGAGGTTTTCACGGCGATGACTATGAAGAAAGCAGTTTTCTGGGATGTGGCACCGTGTAGATGTGGTGTTTACCGACGTTTCGGAGGAACGTATTAAGACACGGGTGGATGAGGAATGTAAATTGCTACATTCTGACCCTTTCCAGGCCGGTTTCCATTTCAAGGCCTTTGTTGTTATGTTTCCATGGATACCTCATATAATTTATATTGTAAGATTTGAGGTTTTCGCGGCGGTGACTATGAAGAATGCCGTCTTCTGAGATGTGGCGCCGTGTAGGTATTGTGTAAAACGACGTTTCGGAGGAACCGCGAGCGAGGAACCAATGTGAACGGATGGCTGCAGCTACCACCTCACGTTCCTATGAAACGTCGGTTTACACAATACCTACACGGCGCCACATCACAGAAGGCAACATTCTTAATAATTCCTATTGTTGAAAATCAACGAATAGTTAGTTTTTGTCGACACACGTATCTTTCACTGGTCTTCCCAAAACGGGATATAAATCCAGACCAGAAGGACGCGAATGGTAAGAGGAATATCTCGAGCGTGTCATGGAGACAGCTAACGATTTGATTTGAACAGCTCTGAACAACTGCAGTTATACTCGTATATACTGAGAAGTGTTTCTGGACGGGATATCGGACAATGTAAACAACTGGGACATAAACACCGAGAGAGGTCACATGATGTAAGTATACAGCTTGAATTAGCAATTCAGAGACGCGCATGTGTCAAGAGAGTCACTCACGTTATAAATGATGTACTTCTCAGCATCTTCTTCGTGTGTACCCGGCATGTAAACAGGGCAGATGATGTTCACTTGGTCGTATTCAAATGGTATGTTCCCCTTATTCACGTCTATGATGTGGTCTGTGTTATCTATCCTGAATCTGAAACAGACAAGAACGAAATTAGCTCAACACAGCACAATATAAAGATACAGAATGGTCCTGCACCCTAACGGAAAACACTGTCGAGACAGGGCCATTTCGAAGAGACTGTGGCTACCCATTTCACCAGATCTAACACATCCTAACATATTCTTCTGTGGAGTTCTCTTGAAGAACGAATGCAGGAAAGCAATCCACGAACCATGCGACTATAAAATGTTACCGACAGCATCGCGACGGAAAATCTTACACGTTCCTGAGACATGGAACAGACGGTAGATGAATGCACTTAGAATCGTGTGAGACTTCCAGCATGTATTGTGAAGATTTGAGGCTTTCGCGGCGGTGACTATGAAGAAAGCAGTCTTCTGGGATTTGGCACCGTGTATATGTGGTGTTAACCGACGTTTCGGAGGAACGTATCGCCTCCATCTTCAGGGTAGAAGGAAAAATATAAGAAATCCGCAAGCGAAGAGACCATGAGAACCGGTAAAAGCAGTCCTCCGAAACGTCGGTTAACACCACATATACACGGTGCCAAATCCCAGAAGACTGCTTTCTTCATGTATTGTGAACACTGTTTCATGTTCAACAAACTAGTTTTCTTGTATTTCAATATCGTTTTACACGCATCACTCTCAGATTATAGGGCCTAAGCATATTAAATAAATAGCAGGAATTTAGAATTAGCTGTTCAAATGCACTCCTGAAAGAATTTCGAATTCATGCTGACTGAGGAAATGAAACAGCATTCACATTTCACACCTTCGTTGGGAATCCATGCAGTTTACGGGCATTTATTTCCGTATATATAGCGTCCTGTCATACGACTGTCTAAAATACCGGAACCAATCAACATGCCATCGATCATACCGCACCACACATCGATAGAGAAAGGACGTTGAAAATTTGTTTCCACAGTACCACGTGGATTCTCGTGAGTCCATCAATGCGAGTTACATATGTTGCTGATTCCGTTATGGGTGAAACTAGCTTCATCAGTGAACAGTATTGTCACGTATCGACCCACTGCCCGGCAGCGACCGCAACACACACAGCCCACGATACAGGAGCAGTGTTTTCTGTGATCCGAGGACAGACCGTTGTTATGCAGCGCGCGCTAGGCATGTTCACGCGTGCGAGGTGACGTCACAATAGAGGAAGTGAGGCAGGCTGTGTTTTCTGTAGATCCGCGCAGAGACTGTTGCTAGATAGCAGACAGGGCACCAATGGACTGGTTGGATAGCGATCACGTGGGAACCCCAACAGACGCGCACGCAACGATCGAGGAGCTGTGTTTTCTGCATATCAGTATATTCGGCATTTATAAAGATGTGCCATTTTTCACAACACTCTTACAATATCACTATCAACAGTCACAACGGCCAAATGACGCTTCACGACGATTCATATGCTTCAGATAGTGGCTTAGTACGACCGGAGAGAAGAACAATATGGATGCCAAAACCAAAGTATTGTACAGTGAAATAGCTGCATCTCGGAAACCGTTCGGAATAGGACACGTGCACATATACACTTTATTGCTTAAAATGAGGTTATTATGACCTCCCAGAATATTGACCTTTCCCCCTGGGATACTCTGTGTTATATTAGTATACGCTATGCTATAAAGACGGAGGAGCAATCAATAAACAGCATACCAAATGGGAAAATAAGATATTTTAATTGGGATTTACAGTAAAATCTGTAACAGTGATATAACAGAACAGCGGATTTCGAAATAAAGGTCATTCAAATGAAAAACAATAAAACACGGTAAGAATCTCAGTCACCTGTACTAAGGTATAGCCGGGATAGCTCAGTCGGTATAACGACCAGGGTGCGTGCTGGATTCCCGGCAAGGCAAAAAGATTTTTACCTTTACCATAGCGTCCAGACCGGCTTTGGGGCCAACGCGTCTCCTATCCAATGGGTACCGGGAGCTCTATACCCGGGGGTAAACCGGCAGGGACTTGAAGCTGACCACTCACCTCCATCTATTGCCGAGGTCAAAATGGTACAGCCACATTTACTCCATATAGCTACCAATATGTACGGCAACCACGGCTGTGCAAGTATTGCGGTAAAGTTTTTGAATGTGACTCTCATTGCAATGCATATGAGCAAATTTTAATTTCTTGATTTGCGTGTTATTCCGTCTAAGAAGTTCTGTTTGCCATATTATTGCGACACCGACGAGAAGAGCAACCCTACGAAGAACACATACCTGTGCCTGCGCCGAATAAAAATAACCGATTGGCAGAACTGTGGCAACTTTACACGTCTTCTTTACTGGTACGTATCCTTCCTCTGGCTGCACAGGAAAACAAAGCCCCTCCTTTGAGAAATGATGTGCAAGTGAATGGCTCTCTTTCAGTCCAGCGATTTGCAGTGTGTTAACGAGCCCGGAAGAGATAAAGGCAGAGGTAAACTTACTCCTTGGGTTATGAGCCACAACACAGGGGCGTATAAGAGACGCGGATGTAAATGCCCACAGCTACATTCTCAGGCTTCAGCATTAGAAGGTGTGCAATGGTGAAGCCCCCGCTAGGGTCTTCCTTACTTCGAGGCTCCAATGAAAAGTGCAGTTTCGGTCTTTGTTGAACATAATCACTGTCGAGGGTTCGTGCATTGAGTTATCGCTATTGTTTCCTCGCACAACTAAAAGAAACGAATGGAAAGTGACATCCATTTCCCCGGAAAAAAAGGCTTAATGTTTACCACTTAGATCGTACAAAATACATTTTCCTTACTAATTAATATAGTTTCACTGTATGCTAAGTTACAGTCATTCTTTAATCTGTAAATGGTTTCTGAGACTTCAATAAAATCACAACGCTACTCTCAGAAGTTAACCTTAAAGTCTCCAATAACATAGAGCCATCCCGATGGTTTCTGAGACTTCAATAAAACCACAAAGCTACGCTCAGAAGTTAGCCTTAAAGTCTCCAATAACATAGAGCCATCCCGATGATTTCTGAGACTTCAATAAAATCACAACGCTACTCTCAGAAGTCAGCCTTAAAGTCTCCAATAACATAGAGCCATCCCGACGGTTTCTGAGACTTCAATAAAATCACAACGCTACTCTCAGAAGTCAGCCTTAAAGTCTCCAATAACAAAGAGGCATCCCGATGATTTCTGAGACTTCAATAAAATCACAGAGCTACTCTCAGAAGTCAGCCCTAAAGCCGCGAATAACACAGAGCCATCTCGCTGACCGGAAAACGACAGGGCAGTGCGTTCAAATGTGAATTCACAGAGCAGAAGGCTTGACCTTCAGGACCTTCAGTGTGGTTGCAGAAACAATTCTATTGTCTGCATTAACCGACAGCCTTTCACTACTAACAATGATGCAGTACGAGCATACCTTTCGTAACATGCCTATTCACGTTCGAAGAATAAAAGCGAGATCTAGGAGAAATGGCATGAATAAAACTGAACACACCTACTTGAAATACAAACTAAATAAGTTCTTAACCAACAGTAAGAAAAAATACAGGACCATGAGAAGCGTTACCAAACTAAAACAAACTTTGCAAAAGAATGGCGACGGCAGATGGAAATTATTACACCATACGTGAGTATGGTTTTTTCGAGTTCAGATTACTATTGTAAAGTTGAGTGCATATGAATCGCCAGGCACTGTCCAAGGAAAGGGCAAGACGCTACGTTCTGAACTCCACAACTTACGAATTGTATTTGGGATATGAAAGAACTGTCACAGCAGTGGAGGGAAACTATTATTGCGTTTATTAAAAAAAATGGCGATAAAAGTGACTACAGTAATCATCACCATCATCATTATCATTGGCAAAACAGCCCTTTTTTTAATCCATACACTTCCTTAAAAGATTCTGCCAGATTTGTCCTTTCCTGGGAATTAGACCGTCTAGTTTTCACTTCTTCGGATTTCGCTACAAGATTTTTTTTCTACAGAGCAAGGTTGTCAAATTTGCGTCCAACTCCCAACCTGGAGGACCACGTTGTCCCCCAAGTGGCAGGTTGCCTAGTTATGCCCCAAGGCACCGGGTTCCTTTTCTTCGCCTTCTACGTCTCGCAGGGCTATGGTGGAGGTATTCTAACCCGCCTCCTCCATAAGAGGGCTACAGTAATCAGAGAGTAGTATAACTGTCATCAATTACGTTCAGGAACTGTGTCCAGCATTCTTCCTTCGAGGTTAACTCCACGGGTAGACAAAATTATTGGGGATATCGGCGCACCACTGGATATAATAGACCAACTTCTGATCGGGCATCCTGCAATCTTCAGATCTATGGAGAGGATGGGAGTGCAACAGGACGGTACATCAACCAACTGAACTTTAAAAGAGCCTTCGATTCAGTAAGGAGAGAAGTACTGTACAGTATTCTCACTGAGTCTGGTGTGCCCAAAAACGACGCGTAGGAAAATATGTGTACATTTAAAGGAGACCTAAATTAACGTCTGTATAGGTAAACACTGAACCACGAATAGGAACAACTTAAGAGCTAGCATCCTCACATAAAGAAGTATACAACACACTCCAAAGAGAAAACAACTCAATTACGACAGCACACAAGGAAATCAAGGAGAAACATATAATAAAACTAGTAATGACATCTCACGCGAGCGCCACTTATAACGTTTATAAAAACACAACAACGAATTCCGGAAGATATCATCATCTATAAATACACAAGAAACGAGGAAGCTTACATCGCAACGACGAAACAAAAAATATATAATAAAATTTAGCCAAAATGCATGTTTCATAACTACATAAAAATACCACATCACGACACACAACAGGATGTAAACAATAAAGATAATCATTTATCTGATGCACTTCAATTTAGAATGGTCTGAAACAAGGAGATTCTTTAGGACCGTTACATTTCAACGCTGCACTAAAGCACTCCATTATAAAGGCCCAAGGAAACCAGGAGAGACTGTAACTGAATAGGACACACCCAGCTTCGGTATATGCTGCTGACGTTAATTACTTGGCGGGAACATAA